ACAAACACAACGGCACAGCCTCCTTGTGGGCTAAGCTCCGCAGAGGAAAACTACACCATTCCATTCGGAATTTCACCAGTTCCCCGCTCTTCGAGACACGAAAGCAAGCACGGCTTACAGTCTCAAATCTCAGTTCTAACACACGCACCAGAGTCGACACGGTGCGTCAGCTTTTACGATCTGACACACCCACTTCCACAGTTTAAGCACTATGCAAACTCACCAACAATCTGCCGCGCAGAGACTGCAGACATGCGCAAAAAAGCCCTTCACACAGTCTTCAAGAAGCGACGACTTACAAGTCCACCAGCAACAAAACCAATCTACTTACACACACTGCTGCATCCGCAATTCACTGACAACATGCGGCAGTTTCTACGGTCCCGTCTCACCGAGCAAAAACAACGCATTCCACCATTACATCTACCGGGCACAGAATCAGTGTACAAGAAACACCCACCGATTCAGCAAATTTTACACAATTGGAGGGCGGCTCACACCACATGGCAGCCGCATGCATGCACTTACGCATCGTTGCAGGCACAGGTTTCACCAGACCATATCTACAACAACCACATTGCCATCCCCATGGCAGAGCTGCAGCCACAACATGAATTTTTGGCTTACTCAGGCAAGAGCAATTGCCTACCAAAGCCTTCACAACTCGCACCTCAACTTACAAGATCTATTAGATCTTGGCACAGGCACTATGGCTTTCCGTTCAATGTTGATGCCACAAAGCAATTTGTGGCAGAACAAATGTCTCAACACAAGAAACATTGTTCCCACACTAACTCTTTACACGTCAAATCAATCAAGCAGATACAGCAACAACTTCCAACTGGAATCATTCACTGCGAAGACCATTTTCCAAACAGGCTCCTTTGGTACTGCCCAGTTTTGTACCGCACCGCCATTCACAACACCTTCCTCGATAAGGAGGTCTTCAGCATCTCACCCCACGCACCCCTTCAGCATCACTATGATGTCTACACTGACATCTGTGCCATGCTCCCAGACTATGCCTGGGCCTTCAAACAATGGGGCCACATACCACGAGCATACATTGTACCAAAACGCAAGAGGAAATTCACAAAAGGACGTCCCATAGTAGCATTTCTCGACACTATGCCCATAGTGACTATGGGCAGAAAACTATGGGAGGCACTTGCGGACGTTCTACAGCTATGACATCACAGGCATGTCCAGATTCATTTCATCAGGGAGATGGCCTCACTCAACTCAAGCAAACAGCAGCCTTTTTGCAAGACAGACACAAATTACAGGACTCCGCGGAATACGTCCTGTACAATCAGGATTTAGCAGGATTCTTCACTTCGGTTGACAAGAACCGATTTCTTTCAGCGTACAGCATACTCGTGCGATGGTACCGAGAGAAAAACCCACTCCACTCCAACACATTTTACATTGATCACTCACAGAAAGACCCCACGCGCAGGGTTCGGGGCAAGAGCAGACAAAAGCAGCAGGAAGCATCCTCGGGCAACAAACTTGGCATTCAGCTTCAACACATCCCACAGATCATTAGTACTCATGCTGAACTATTTTACAGTTGGCAACTCTCTCATTGAGCAGATCCGCGGGGCACCCATGGGATCACCGTGCAGCCCAGCCTTATGCAATCTTGTGGTGGCTGTAGAGGAACAATGCTGGCACCACACGTACAAGCAACTTTTTGTCAATCACAAGTACTTTCCTCAGCACACCCACAAGGACCATGCTATTTTCTTTGCAGCTCGCTACGTGGACAACAGAGTACTTTTGCTGCCGAGCCACTTGGCCAAGCTGCCTCCCTTCAAGCAACTCACAGCTTCATCTTTTTACAAGCCTCCGGTCCAGCTTGAATCTGAACCGGCAAAAATTTTCCTGGGATTTGCCATTGATCCCCACCAACGCAGCCTCCTGTACCAATGCAATCTACATAGAGCAGACATTTTTACACCCCCAATCGGCCACCACCAGCCGAACACTTCGCAGCAGTTTTCAGGCACGCGCACGATTCGTACAGAGAGTCACTACACCGAGCACAAAAGCCTACAGTGCCGTTCGAGCTATGCGTGACCTCTACGTGGCAGCTGGGTACTGCGACCGTCAGCTGTAGAAAAACATTGAACAGTGATTTGCGGGTTGAGTTGCCCCAGTTGCCCATGCTCATACACCGCAACTCATTTTTGAATATGTTTCGTTATGTACGCCGCAGCCAGGTCAGTGCAGCGACCTCCGCGACGATGTATAAGAGCGCCGCGACTGGAAAGCTGCAACTCAAGCATAAGGCATTGAAAAGCCGACCGCGGCACAATCCAGTTCACAAGGAGCAGAAGCGCAGACGCGGACGAGCTTCGTCGGTGTATGAAGCACCGCAACCACGCCCACCATTACGATCACACATCCTCCGCATTGCAGAGGAACAGGAGGAGCAAGATCAAGATGAAGACCAGGAAACCAATCCAACACCGAGCATTCCGGCACCGAGCACTCCGCCATACCCTCCGGACATGCCGATTGCTTCGGGAGACATAGGTGAGGTCATCAATCTTCTCCACCAGCTCCACACATCTATGACTGAGGCGCAGGCAAAGCTGGAACGCTTGGTTCAGCAAGCCACGACTGTCTTGACAACGCAACATGAAGCCACTACTGCCATTATGGCAAGTTGTAAATCACAACTTGATATTCTCGAGAGCCTCATGAGGCAGGACACACCAGACTGGTCCTAAAGCCAAACAAGGCGACAGTCACGAAGGCGGAAAACAGTTGCTTTATCCGGAGCATGACTACATGCATTGCGCAAAGCCTTGTAGCACATTCGCTTTATCCTTCAGTTTTGGCTCACGTGTACGAAAGCATTAGCACAGATTGATTCGTGATGAACAATCCCCCAGCACCCACGGAGACATCATCTACTACACCGACACCCACAGATGCTGAAGCCCGACGTGAGGCCCTTGCTCAGGCCCTCTTGGAAGTTTTGACGGAACACCAGGAGCATGCATCGGACGCTGGCAGTGAGATCTCTACATTCAGTGAACGGGCTTTTCGTGCAGAGTTCATCGTTCAAACAGAACGGGAGCTCACAGAGTTGAAACAAAGAGTGGCAAGACTTGAGGCACTCTTACGAACATGAGAGCCACCAAGAAGCAGCGAACTAGAGTTCCGTACAATAACCTGCGCTGCACAAGAGTCTGTGCATGCTTGATTTTTGCTGCTACAACCATTCACAGAGCAAACATTTATAACTACGCAGCTTTTCAGCTCATACTTTGCTGTGTTGAGACCATGGATCGAAGTACCAGATCGAGATCCCCACGAGCATCGGAGTGGATGGCATTGGGCCACCAATGGCTCTTCATGGTGCCGCGAATACTTTATTGCTTCCAGAGATTGGATCAACAGCCGTGCACAGCAACATGATCCAACTGAAAACTCACCTAACCCCTGGAGCAACCTCCACTACTTCGACCTCTCCAACACTAAAGAGGAAGAGATCACGCACCCCGTGACTAGCACAGTTGAGCTGATAATGAAATGCACTCATTGCTGCTTTCCGCGGCCAACGCGCGCAGCAAAGCTGTAGCAAATCCCCAAAGGCAGGATGGTTTAGTCAGTTAAGAGCAGAGCCATTGACATACAGCACCTCCTTGCGGGCGCAAACAGCATCGATTGAGCTGGCACGAAACGACTCGGTATTTCCTGCTCTTGCTTTCATTGCCGCAGCCGTTTGGTAGGACAACATGTCGACCCATAACATGATTCCATCTACCCCTCATGAAAATGGGGATGACATCAGTTCTTGGGGCTCCGATGAACTGGCAGCGTTCCTGCGGAAGGACGACGTTAAGCATGCGTCTTCAAGCACCGCCTTGAACCCTGAGGTGGCACCCGACTCTATGATCCCCATCAAGAAGAAGAAAGACAACGGGGACGACATTAGTTCTTGGGACTCTGATCAACTGGCAGAGTTCATGCGGAAAGACGACAGTCAATTTGCTTCTTCAAGCACCGTCGTGAACCCTAAGGTGGCACCAGACTCTACTGTGTCCATCAAGAAGATGAAGAACAAGAAACGCCGGACTAGAACCTCGACCAGAAATTCGTCACCGACTTGCACAGTAAAGCATGATCGCAAAAAGAAGAAAAAGGCAAAGCAGCAACAACAACAGCGTTCTTTTTCGTCATCAACATCTAGTGCATCCCCTACACCGACAGCACATGCAGTTACATCTTTGCATCGGTCCCCTTCTCGAGAGCCGTGGTCATCGGATTCCGTGGCACCATATGACACAGTGTACCCGCCGGTGGTGTACAAACGATCTACCAGAGCATGCGCCAAGATGCTGGTCCGTGCTGGCCTTCGTTGCCAGTGTCCTTTTAAGCTTCTGAGGGAATGCGACACTTATGTAACACATTTCCGATAACGAACGATAATTGCTTCGCTGAACAAAACTGTGCGTTGCCCCGGTTGGGGCTGTGTGTGTGAGAACCTCCTTAGCAGGGTCACTCCTATTGTTGATTGCTCATTATTGTCAGCCACATGTTGTGTTTTCAATCAGCACAAAATCTTGCAGGGGGTGCCAGGGGATTGCAGAAGGCTGGCACCAACGAAGACCTTTCTGCTTTCCTGTGAAATCGACTTGGGACGCCAAGTCGACGTACCTGCAGTTTGTGACACATTTCATCGTGCAAGCTGTCCATGGTTCAATCCTGTGATATCATCGCTGTGCAAAACAAAGCCACTGGTCGGCAGCTCAGGTTGCTCAGGTCTGTTTTTGCGTGTACGGTTGCAGCAATCTGAATTACACAACAAGTAAGTGCAACATGCCTCTCTTCCTTCCTTTCTTCACTCTGGCTTTTGGCCGAATCAATCAGTGTGTTTGTGTTTGTGTGCTCCGACAGCACCGACCTCCCTCGGCTCGAAGCTTCTCTGGCCATGACGCGGCCCTCTTCGGAGTTGTTTGATTAGATTTCATATTCGTGTAGAGATGGCAGCTCACACATTCCGCAAGGCACTCTTTTTGTTCTTCTGGCTCTGTCGCTGCCACGCGGAGCAGAGCATGCAGAGCGTGCAGAGCGTGCAGAGCGTGCAGAGCGTGATGCGGAGAGCGGGAACCGAGGCATCGAGGCGCAAGTCGAAGCCGCTCATGCGCTCACACAGGGAGCCGGGGCCGGAGGAGCCGGAGGAGCCGGAGGGGGATGTGAAGTTGGAAAGCGTCCCTCCTGTCCGGAAGCCGCTCTTCGAGTCCTTGGCAGAGTCCGATGATCTGAGCGATTTGTCCGGGTGTGGCTTGGCTCCCTGGAGCTCTTGGAGTCTTTGCCGCTGCGGTGGTGGCGGACCTCCGGGTCGGCGCCTTCGAACTCGGGATGCTTTGGGACTTTCCGAGGAGCAGCTTCCGGGAAATGGAGGCGGAGGTCGGATCCGCTTCTCGGGGGAGCTGCTCGTGACGCTCCCGGGACGCTACACCTTCCAAGCCGCGGGCCCGGGGTCGCTGAGCGCCCTGCAAGTCGGGGCGGCCTTGCGGGTGAAGGCGAACGCCACGCACACATCGATGCGGACCTCCAGTTCCGAGTGGGCCCGCTGGCTTGCAAAGGGCGCTCATTCCCTCATGATCGAGGCCGAGGCACCAGAAACTGGCATTCTGCACATTCCCTTGCGGTACCGGGGTCCAGACACGCAAGACGAGCGCATCCTTTTGCCGACATCGGTACTGAGGCATGGAGTTGCAAAGGACTGTCAGGCCCGTGCCGTCGAAACTGGTCGCTGCCCCGCTTGTGCGGTGGATTGCGCCTGGAGCGACTGGGCAGATTGGTCCAAGTGCGTTGCTTCCACCGCTCCGTGTGGGAAAGGCCAGGAGACCCGAACCCGCTCCGTGCAACGCAGGGCCGCCACAGGAGAGGGCTCCGCCTCGCTGCTCGAAGGCGGCAGGGCCTGTGAGGGCCAAGGATCGGAGCAGCGAAGCTGCCACGTAAACTGTGGCCGCACCTTCTGGTGAGGGGCCCTTGAGCACCGCACTGCCAGACCTCTGAGTAACAAGATGTATGAGATTATGCAAGCCGTGCCTTCACCACACTTGACTGGAATTTCTGTCTGTAGTATTTCCCTGAAGGGCCGTTTCGCCGCAGTCCTTTTCTCTGTGCTGCTACTCGCAAGTGCATTTGTACCGAGACGCTGTCGATAAAAAGCTACGAAACAGATCATAGGCCTATATAGGGATCCTCTCATACTCGGATGATTCTCGAGCTGAGCAGCATCCATCTCAACATGGACCGGCATCAAGTGCAGCATACAACTGCGCCATGTCACATGGCGCTTGCAGCATGTGCAGAGACAGAGCGTGAGCGCAGCCAGCGCAGCAAGTGCGTGACGCGACAGCATCTCAGACTGAGAGCTGAGTGCAGCCCTAGCCCTTAGCTCCCGAGGCAGAGGGAGCAGAAGAGCATGACCTTGGAGTCGGAGGCCTCGGGGATCACGGTGGAATCGCATACAAACAGCGCACTGCTTTGAGGAGCGGCCCTCTGACGTTTCGGCGATCCTCCGGAGTGCCGTCCTGGAGGAGAAGCAGAGAAGCAGAGCGAAGCAGAGCGAAGCAGAGAACTGTGCAGACTACGCATGAAAACGCTCACTGCGTCGCCAGGGCTACACGTGAAAGCAGAGCAGTGAAGGTTTCGACACATCTTTCGTTTCAGGCACAGGAAGCCGTGGCTCAGGAGGTTCGCAAGCTCTTTCTGGCCTTGCGCTGAGACAGTCGAGAACTTGGGGGCTCTTGGACTCGGACGTATCCCAGGCCCTGCGGGAGGAGATTCCGGGAAATTTCGACAAGGCCGGACTCGGAGCCCATGTGACACATTCGCTGCAGCACAAGCTGCAGCATGCTGCAGCATGCTGCAGCGAAGGTTTCGACTCAGGTCTGCTCAGCTCTGCTCCGCTCTTCTCCGCTCTGGCTCAGCAAGGGTTTGGTACAGATACGGGGCTCAGAGAGTGGGAGCCAGGCAGCGCCTGAGGCAGCCTGTGCAGCAGCATGGTGCAGATGTGGGAGATCGTGGGCGGCGCGGACAAGGGCGGTATCATCGTCAGGCTCACAGGGCTCTGGCTAGTTGCTGACATGCGCTTGTGGAAACAGACACCCTGTAGCCACTGCAGGGACGGTGAAAACACCAAGTCCAACCAGCTGGACGATCGCCTCTCCACCGGCGCACTTGTAGAAGAGGTCGAGCTGAAGGGCGACCGCCTGCACTACAAGCTGGTTTTGGGCACAGGCCCGCCCGATGGCTGGGCCACCTGGCCCAGCAGGAGCAGAAATTTTAGGCACCGCCTTTGTGAGGTTTCGTCGTCGGCTCAACAGAATCCGAGGTGAGCACGAAGTTGAAGGACAAGGACCTGGCGGTGAAGACGGACAAAGCTCCCGTCTCGAGCCCTCCTCCCACATCCGTGGGCCCGAAGGGGGAGGCGGCTTGGAGCACTGAAACTTTCATATTAGCGGCAGACCTCCGTTCGGCTCCACACGTTTCACTGCACGTCGGCTCAGGCTCCCCTGCCCATTGGCCTCTTCTTCCCAGGGCAAGGATCGCAGTATGCGCCTTGCCGGCAGATGCGGCAGATCGGCAGACACCCCGAGCCCCGAAAGCCTTGTCTAGGTGAAGATGATGGAGAAGGTCATGGACATTTCCGCAGTCAAGGAGATGATCGAGAAGTCGAAGCCCATCCTCGGCTACGACATCTTAGAGATTTGCCTCAATGGCCCTGAGGACAAGCTGGAGGAAACACGCTATTGTCAACCTGCCATGTTCCTCGGTGGCCTCGCCGGCCTCGAGAAGCTGAAGCAAGACAAGCCCGAGGCCCTAGCCGAAGCGTAGCGTTGCAGCCGCGTCGGACCGGTCTTGGAAGCTTCTGAGTTGGGCTTCTTGCGGCAGGCAGTGTCACGAGCATCGGTTATGGCCGGCCTCTCGCTAGGCCCGGCAGAGCGGAGAGAGCGGAGTTCACAGCTCGCTCAGCGTCAGCGGCTTCTCGCCGTTCCATCACCCTCCCTTCTCTCCAGCTCTCTCCTGCGCTCCCCTCTTGCCATCTCTCTTGCCCTTGGAGTCTTCTCCTTCTTTCGCTCAACCTTTGAGGTGAGTACACGGCTCTCTGTGCCGCGGGGGTGATGTCCTTCGAAGATGGCCTCAAGCTGGTGAAGCTTCGAGGAGAGGCCATGCAGGAGGCGGCAACGTCTGAGTCCTAGGCCCCTGGGCCCCTGGGCCCCTGGGCTGAGGAGCATCTTGTCTGAGTCAGAGACCCGCCTAGGTCCGGAACAAAGAAGCAACTGATGCTCTCTGTCGCTGGCCTGGAACGTGCCAAGCTGGATCCGCTCTGCCGCGAAGCCGCTTCCAAAGAGGCGTTGCCACCGTGTACGCCTCTGCCTCTTGCTCTTGCGTGTTTTCTATGTCCGTACTCTGGCAGGACGGCGGCGTGTGCTCCGTGGCAAACTGCCTCTTCCCCCAGGGTTTCTCCATCGGTGGTACGGAGAAGGCACAACCGAAGTAGGAATCGGGACGAGCCAAAGTTTGGAATGTTGCGGTGCCAAGGCCATAAATATGCTGAAGGAGCTCGCAGAGAAGAATGGGGCACTTCAGGTCAGAACAAAGGGTTCTTCTTCAATGAAGTTTGCTTTGAGCACGAGTTGCTTTCTCCAGGCAAAGGTGCTGAAGACCGCTGGCGCATTCCACACTTCCTTGATGCAGCCTGCTCAGGACGGGGGGGTGCCCTGTGCCCTCCAAACCTTGTTTCAGGGTGTGATGCAGCTTGGCTTCTTGGCTTTGCCTTGCTCTTCTTAGTCCACGGTCGTGTTTCTTTTGCATGTATGCTTCGCTGTCCCTTTGCATATTGCCAGCTGTTCCTCTGACTGAAGCTGCAGCAAGATCATATGATGAGGGGGTGTATTTATTTGACACCACACTGGCCACTGCTGTACGTTGCGCGGATAGAAAGCAGCTTCGTAGCATCACTTCTGGTTTCAGTGGTCTATCAGGACAAGCTTTCTGCAGCTTTGGAAGAGACGCTCCCGAACATGAAGCCCCCCATGCACACAGCAACTTGGCTCCCGGCTTGTGCGTGCTTTGTGCTGGGGGAAGCATCCGAGGTGTGGATGAATGCTTCGGCACAGCCCATTCGTCCCGGCACGGATCCAAAGGAGATCGTGGCTTTGTTGAAGAGGCCAGGCATGGGCAGCGGCCCGCGGCAGGAGGTCTCTTTTTGGGGCCCGGGGACCCGCCGTGTGGGAGGCAGCTGACGAACCCTGTTCTCTGGGACGACTCCATGAAAGCAATCCTCAAGGAGGGCGTGAACGAGCTGCTTGAAATGAAACAGGGGGAGGTCTGAGGTGCCGGGTCTGGGCGGTGACTTCAGGTTCTATGAGGTTGGCCCCATGAAGCAGATCAAGGCCATGATGAAGCGAATCGATGCAACAGTGACTCGGCCGCCTGCGTGAGAGCAGCGACGGATGGACGGACGGACGTGTGCTTGCGACGTAAGCCGAGGCCTGGAAGGCAACGACGAACGTCGAGGTCTGAAGAGAGGCCGAGAGGCGGCTAGCCGCTAGCCCTTCTCCCCCTCTCCCCCTTAGCGGCCCCTAGCGGCCCTAGCTCTTGTGAGAGAGAACCCAGAGCCATCCCAGCTAGGCTTACGCCCTCGTACCATTTTGTGCTTTTGGAAGTGGGATGCTCCCAGCCAGACAAGTGGTCTGAATGCTCCGAGAGCAATGCTGTACGGAGCATTTGTGCGCTATCTTTTCTCCTACGCAAAGGCGTCAAGGGCACGACACTGGCCGTGAGGGCTGACGATGTAGAGCCGAGAAGTTGCCGCTGGACTGACCCGGTCAGTCTCTTCCTTCGGAGTTTGCTCAGGCTTTGATCCCCGTGTTGGCTCGCGCCTAAGCCGAGGGAGGGCCGAGCCGTCGCTGTCGTCTGCGCCTCGTCGGGAGCCCGGCTCAGGAGCTCTTGCAGGAGATCCGGGACCGTGACAGGCCCAACGGAGGGCCCTTTGGGGCCGGGCGGCTCTTTGCGCTTCCTTGCCGTACGCTCTGAGCCCTGGGAGGACGGGGCCCGGCTCTGGCCCCGTGCGATCGTCAGCCTCGCTAGGCCCCGATGCCACCGAAGCAGCGGATAGAGACCAAGACTGCCAAGACTCTTCATACCTTAAGATGAGCATTTGCATGTGCAGGCGCCAAGCTTGAGTATTTTCGCGAGCCTCGGAATCCACAAAATTACTGCCTCACGCAGATCTGGACGAGCATATGACGAGCATATCCGAGCATGAGTCCAAGGGCTGGCGTGGTATGGATGTATACCGTGCAAGAGCATGGAAGCATAGGTGCACTAGCCGCTACCCACGAGCACAAAGCAACGCGGCTCTGAAGAACACTCGTAGGATAGGGTCCATTGCGCGAGCCACTCTCCTAAGTGCACTGTGAATGCACCCTGACTTGAGCATGTATAGAAGCCATGACCATGACATGCATGTATTGTATATATGTTGATCCGCTGCCGTAGGGGCCCCTTGAGCTTACCGTGTAGCTTCGCAGTGAAGGTGAAAAAGCCCGCCAATTTCAAATTGGTAGCGGAGCAGGTACCCCCAGACGGGACCTGTGTCTGCGGGGCAAGTAACCAGTAGCCTGTGCTGGGCCTTGGAGGGCCCGAACCTACCTCTTGCGCACTCCCTTTCGAACTTTCAAACTTTCCATCGAACTCTCTCGCCCACCATGTCTGTGGCCGGTCTTCGATACAGTCGCTCTACGTATTCGAGTACTCCCCTGGAGACTCGTAGCGGGAGCTACATATATGATGGCACCCCCAGTACGTTTCACGACTGGGAGTTTAGGACCTCTATGAGGCTTAAACTGTACGAAGATGCTATCAGGAGCAAATCCAAGAAGACCGTGGAGCCCGAAGAAGAAGGCAGCGAGGATAGTCGCGAGCTTGAAGCAAGCCCGACTGCAGCTGCCACTGCCCCTGTACCTTC